ATTTCTTATACATGAACGATTTTTCACTAGGGACCGAAAGGCCATAAACTCTTTTCCTGAAGGATCAAGACCAGCCGCTTGTAGAACTGAACTCGCGGCAGGTTCTAGCACCGCAAGCACATTCTTGATCCCCTAATTAGTTTCGTCCGCTCATCGGGCGTCACCCGTTACAGTTAGCTTCTTCACTCTGGGATGAACTCTGCTCTCGTCCATGAAAATGAGACAAACGTCTGACTGCCAATTTTGGCGGTGTTGATTTCAGAATACCTAAGTTTCTCCTGTTCTTTCTACAAACACCGTCGAACGTGTCGTTCGCAACTGCTGATAGGTAGTCAGGGACCACAACTCGTGACGTCACGGACAAGAACCACGAGAGGGCGCCGCCTGAACATCTCGGCGCTAATGGTTGACGGTGTGAACGAGGACAATAGGACGTGTCGCGGCTTTACCGATCGATTTTCGGCAGTGTGCCGAGGGACTGCCTTTCTGTCTCTATAAATCTCGTGAGAAGCGCCTGGCTCTCTCTGTCTGACACATGGTCCACTTTTGATCGTTTCACATTCAGCATCTATTCGTCCATCTATTGTTTTGTTTTCTCCGCGAAATTATATAGGATGAGAAATACTTTGAGACAGGCGGCCTCCAGCCAGCCCTCCTCCGTGCCTTGAAGCTCACGAAATGCCAAAGTTTTGCCGAAGTCCGGAAGCTCGCAATCTCCCCGGTACACCGGAAGGACCACCCGGCCGTTCTCATCCTTTCGGTAACCAGAAAAAAAACTGAGGGAAAAGAGGATATTAGATGCGAGTCTCGAGTCTCTACTCACCGTTCGAACGTGAGACACTTCTGGGGGAGCGGACGACCCTCTTTTTCGCTCTGATTGGAGGAAGACAGCGGGCTGCTATAGCCTTTGAGTCTACCCACTATTCTTCCCATCGGCGCTCTCCTCCTCTCCTTCACTTTCTCTCCGTGTATAATGGTTCCCCAAAGAGCCACGAGGCGTCAGAGTTGCACGCCTCGCGCGTGCCGCCCGTCGTGACATCCCGTCCATTCTTCACGCCACGTCGGCGCCGCGCATGCGCGCCGAGTGCCGCGATAATAAAGCGCCCCCGTTATTGTTCTTGGCGCCGCGCACAACAACCCACGGCGGGGGGCTGCAGTGGAGCGCGGGGCAGAAAAGCCAGCGCGACGGAGCCTCGTCGTTGGCACGCGCGCGCTTCTTTCCGTCGCCGCCGGGGAGTCATCAAGTGCGCGGTCTTTAGATCGATCGGGATCCAGATGACGGCAACTTGCCAGTAGTGGCAGCCCCGCCGTGCTCCGGGCTGCAAGCTGCTGTCGCTTTTCCTCCCTTTTTCGGCTCGCGGATGAACCGCAGCGCACGGAGAGAGCGGTCTCTGCCAATCCAGACCTTCGAACTCGTCGCGTGACCACGCGTCCTTTCCAAGGTCACGTGAGACTCGCGCGGCTTTGGATTGGTTCGGTTGGCTCGTATAGCGTCCGATGCGGTTCATCGCAGGCCCCTGCTTCGTAGGTGAATGTCGATTTTGCCGGTTTTATTATTTTTTTCCCTTCCTCTTTTAATAGCGGTTCTCGGGGACGATTGCCCGCTTCGTGTCTCTCCGGACCGAGTTTATTACCTTCCCTGCTTTTCCGAGTCGGGCGTTGATTCTCGTTGACGCTGGAATGGTGTACGCTCGTGCGACGACGGAGATTTTCGCTTCTTGGCTTCGCTGTGCTCGGGGTTGGCCTTCGCTCGCGTGCGGTTGCGTCTTTATGGGATATAAACGTAAACTTTTGCGCGATAAAGTAGGCAAGTTGACGCAGTGGCATTCCTGGACCCTTATGAAAGTGAACCTGGCCCGCGGCAATGAATGTGTCGCTTTCCTTTGTGAATTTTTGTTTTTCGCGACTTGTGGTGGTTTTGAGGTTGTGTCACCGCGCTAAAAAGTTTCTCCGCTTTAAGAGCTTGTTTTCTTTCTTTTCTTCTTGTTGGACTTAGCGTCAGGCGCAGTTGTAAATATTGGGTGAGTTCTTGCGTAACTCGTCGCAAAACGCCAAACAGAATATTCGAATGATTGCCGCCAGGTCATAACCGCTGCCTACTCAGCATTACCCCTGGATACATTTAGCCCTTACCACTGTAACGCTCGCACGACTTTAGCTGGAGTATTGCAGTCACGATCCATGTGTGGCAACGGGTGGGAAATGCTCGTGGCGCTTACTTGGGACACCGTTTACCTTGGCATGACCACCGGCAACGCCACTGCAACGGACATACGAGCATGCCTTGTCTGTCCTATTCTGGCCCGATTCCCGCGTCCACTGGTGGGAAACTTTTGTGACGCTTACCTGGGACGCGTTTGAGCGTCACCACAACTCGTCACTCGTTTCTTACCCGCTGCCAGATAGGCCGTGCCGGTTAGTTCTATACCTTTTGGCGCAGCGGGCCACGAGTATCCGCTACGCGTCAAGCAACGAGCAGTCGGAAACCCGCCCAGATCAGGGCACACTAGTTTCTATGCGTAACCTGGCCTTACGGTCCCCTCTGTGTGAGCACGCAAGCTCGCTCACTCGCTCGGCTCTCCATTCTCCCTGGGGATCCGAGGGAAAGTCACCCGGGAAAACGGCATCCCCCGCTTTCTCCATTTCTCTCTCTCTCTCTCGCCGGAAGCAGTGGTTCAGTTTACTATTTTGTTTTTCGTTTTTGTTCTCTCTTGCGTGGCCGGCTGCTCGGTTGCGCGGCGGGCGTCGTTCTGCTACGCTTGCTGTTGCCGTTCTCCGCGGTCAACGAGGATCGCGTTTCAGCGGCGGCTTTCTTCGTTAAGTACGGCTTTCACCGCACAGCGGGCGTGCTTCCTCTGTCGTTGCCTAATCGGAGTCCCGCCTCTCTCTCTGGTGTCGAGTTTTCCCCAACTCCGCCGCCGCCGCAGTTATTTATTTCGCTGCTGTCGAGTTTCGCCCGACGCTTTCTTTCTTTCTTCTCGATGTTATAATTAGTGCTGTTTTCATTTTTCCCCGCTGTCTGGCGCCTTTTTGGTGTGCGAGAGAAGTGCTTTACCCGATTTTAAACGTGACGCGTTTTATACGCTGCCAAACCCTTTCGTTTTGATTGTTTTTCCTTGCGTGGAATTGTATTTCGTTCCGGTTCCTCGGCATCTCTTTGAAGACAGTGGTAGTAGCTCTACGGTTGCTTCAGGTTAGGGTAATTAAAAATATCTATTTTCCGCCCTCTCTCTCAAAAAAAAAAAAAAAAAAAAAAGCAAAAACATGTAAAAACATTTTTTTTATAGAAAATTAATGGACGCGGAGAGTTTTGGCGCGGGTAAAGATTGAAGAAAGAATAAACATGCAGTACAAAGACGACACGACCGCATCTTTGAAGACGTGGTTGTTTTTGTCTTTGTCCTAGACGTCTATTATTTCTTCAATCTTGACTCGTAGAAAAGGGTGGATTCTTTGGGTGTTTGATCATAAGCAAGCGGACAAAAGAGGTCTTCCAAATTTCCAGGCGCATTTTTTTCCCTCTATAATATCACTTTTAAGTTTCCGCGTCGATTAACTCTTGAGAAGACAATGTCGTTAATATACGAAGCAGCTAAAGAGGGACCAACAGTTATCGCCGTCGTTTACGAACTACGTCCATATATTTTGACGATTTGGGCACACTGTTGTCGCTCGTCAGAGGGACCTTTTGCAAAACGTTTCGTGCAATCGGGAACTTGTTTATCTTGTAAATCTACCGCAAGCAAGAAGAACACAGTTCACAAGTACCGTAAAGTATCGCACGACTTTTCCGATTCCGCGCTCTTCAGATAGTGTCCCGTAGAACGCGTGCTCCACCAAGTTTTGCGCATTGTTCATACGCTGCGCAAAGTAGTCCTTACGAAATTTGGTTGTCGGGAAAAAAAAAAAACACGACGCTTTCGGCGTTTTGAAACGTGGACGTTTTGGTAAAATAACATATAGCTAATCTGAAATGCACCTGCATACGTATTAATTCACCATATAAAGCGGGACATCAGTATTGTCCCACAAAAAGCCGGACTATTTTTTTGTTTTTTAACTGCGGTTTTTGGGTTGAATAGGAGTATAAATTATGCTGAAAAAGATAGTGTTCTATGACACCGACCTTCCAGTTTTTCCTGGTAAAGCGAGAAAAGCGTCACTTGTTCCCCCGGCTAGTCAAACTTAAAAGTTTACATGCCTAGCCGATGGCTAGTTCACACATTTGCCTTTGCGCGCGCGTGTGACCGCAAACTACGAGAGAAGACACTAGCGCCGTCTATTGGGCAGCCCCGGAACGAGCTTGCGATCCTCGTCATACTATATAGGCCGAAGCTTTTGCGGTATTTGCGAGGTCAAATCCACGCAGTATCTTTATATGAGAAATGGACGTTTGTATATATCATTGTCAGAATTATTTCGAGCACACGATGAAAGAATGACGCGTAAAACGTGCGCAGTTGACGAGGGTTCCAGGGCGTAACCGATGGGTGGCACCGGTGTAAGCGTTTACCGGAGCTGCCGTCGATCCCACGCGAATGTGTGAGCCAGGCTTGACGGTGTATGGGGGGGACCCTGGCTCCTACCAAACCGTCTGCTCTGTCCGCCATTTCGAGTCATTGTGTGTGTGTGTTGGTGAAGGGCTGTCCATTCACACTGGACACGGTTTCTGCTGTGTGACAGAATTTTCTGGCTGGAAGTGTAGGTTTCCCCATCAATAGTCTTTAAGACGTCTTTTTTTTTTTTTACTGTACGAGTTTATTTTTTCTGCACCGCAGTAAACGAAGGAGTGAGACCATTCTATAACATCGAAATGTCTGTCAGAAATTGCGGGGAACGAGCAGTGACCTCGCGTTGGTCGGCTCTGTGCTCGCTCCGTCCCGTTTGCATTGTCCGCGACCGTATGCGCGGAGTGTGTCTGCTTGCTCGCGGTGCCGCGTGTTGTGCGTGGGCGAGCTTGGCCTCATGGTTGCCTGCGGGCCGTCTCTTTTTCCGGCCAGGGTCCTCCAGCGCAGCCGGGGCAGCCGTTCAAGTTCACCGTGTCCGAGACCTGCGACCGCATCAAGGAGGAGTTCAACTTCCTCCAGGCGCAGTACCACAGGTGAGCGTTCCTCACGTATACCGGCAAACCCATTGCACTTTTAAAGACGTCCTTTAATTGCCTTGGCTGTGGACCCGAAGGCCGCGGGCCCGCACTTGTGCTCCTGAGCCACTGAGGGGGAGTCGGTGAAGGTGTGCCCGGAATGGAAAAAAAAAATAAAATCGGAAAGTAAACACCTAAAGGCATTTTATATTCCCTTAAAACATTTTTTTTTTGTTGAATACCTACATTAAATACGTATGTCGGCGGCCCCCAACCGAACGAAAAAAAAAAAAAAAAAAGTTCTATTTACGTTGCGGGATACATTTTGAGTTGGGAGCGATTCTAATTTTGTGGAATCGCTCCTAACTTTTAAAACGCTGAAGAAAAAAAAAGCGATGCTTAAATTGGAGATTATTGTCACAAAACAACCTCCTTTTTTTTTGGGGGGGGGGGGGAGGGCAAAAAAAAAAAACAGTTTTTGAGACTTATTTTAAGTGACGAGCGATTGCGAAACGTTCTTCTTTTTCGATTCCCGAACTACAAGTACAAAATTAGAAGCACGTCGCAGTATGAGAGGCTCATTTTCAGTCGAGAAGAAGGTGAGTCAAAATACCCCAAATGAGACTCGATTTGAGTATTGTGACTCACCTTGTTCTCATCCATAAATCACATATGGCGTAATATTTCGGTCCGAGCAATGCATATCTCCACGCGATAAATGTCGGCACGGGCAATATTTATTCCATGTCGTCACTAAAACGTCCTCTACTAAAGCTGCTTGAAACGGGCATGCTATCGCCTCCGCGCATTGTACCGCAAGACATTGTTTTCTACACCCGTCAGAAAAAAAGAAAGAAAAAGTGAATGATGTTTTACTTTACAGCCCCCTATTCATAATTATAGGGTGCTAGAAATAGTGTTCAAAAGGTGTAACTATGGGTGTCTCTCACCATCTTCACACCCTTGGGGGTGTAACTATTTGAATGTAAGAGTATGCTTCTCTCCCATGTATCTTAGCCTGACGACTGTAGACTTTTTTTTTTTTTTTTTTATAAAGCGAGGGTTTCTATTGCCTGTGGTGCGCCGGCGCGTCAAGTTCCTCCCGCCTGTCAAGAAAACGGAGAACTCGCGCTTGACGGTCTGCGATTTTTGCACGCTGGGCGAAAATCGGGACGCTATCGCAGAGAGAGACCTGTTCGGAAATCGGGAAGAAATTCGGAACCTACGGAAATCGTTTTGAGTTATTCTCGAGAAGCGGGCGTGTTTTTTGTGCGCAGACTGCAAATATCGTCTCAGTATTTGCGATTTTTGTACCGTAGGTGTATTACCCTCGCGTGTTCCGTTTATTTAAAAATATTGTTTTGAGGTTTTTTTTTTTTTTTTTTTTTTTTTTTTACACATTTATTGGAATTAAGAAATTAAAAATCGTTATTCGTTCTCAAAAAAATAAAAAAAAATAAAAAAAAAACCCACCAGAGTTGTTTTTAAATTTTACCAAGACTGTCTTTTTGAGCTGAGTCCGTTCTTTATCACCCTAGTCACTGAAAACGTAAGAAAGTCGTAGCGAGCCCCCGGAGATATTATCATTTGTACGCAGTCCCTGAGATTGTGCAATTAGCCGAGATAACAACACCGAAGAAGGAAGCAAGAAGCTCGTCAACCATATTGTTTGCCGCGTGTTTCTTGTTTAGCTACCGGAGGTTGTTTCGGTTTGAGCAGCGTACCGAGCCGTGTGTCGTGTCCCGTTTCAGCCTGAAGCTGGAGTGCGAGAAGTTGGCCAGCGAGAAGACGGAGATGCAGAGGCACTACGTCATGGTGAGCAGTCACACCCTTCCCCCTCTCTCTCTTTTATGACCGAGTTCGCCGTGTGCAAACATTCAACTACATCTGCTCGCGGTTCGTGACACGAAAACCATATGTGGTGTCGGCAGTCTTATTTACGATATACCTCCCGTCACTTTCCTACAGACGACGAGACCGTATACGCCGAATTTTCGGCGTCACTTTATGAAGGCAAATGCGGGACTGTGGTTGGACGCGAGCTCTGCGTCAGCCTTCGGATAGAGCTCGGGTCCAATCAGCGGTCGTCTCCAATCCGCGCCTCGCGTTGACGCCGAAAATGGAGCACTGCGGTATTGTCGTTTATACTTTAACACGTCACATACTTCGGTTATAAAAAGGGGGGAAAAAAAAAGAAAAAAAAAACATAAATATAATCTAAAATTTACCTACGCACATCTCAATTGAACGCCTGAAGGGGGAACATAGTAACTTACCTCAAAAAACCTGATTTTTTTCTTTTTTTCTACGTGGAGTCGTTGTTAATTGCCAAATCTGCAGGGTTACGGCGGGTGCGCAGCAGTCCGGCGTCCGGTAAATCTGTTGGAGGGCGGACGACCGGCGCCGTCGGAGGTTGACCCGAAAAATCTTCAGCCAGGCTGAAAATCCTCGCCATCCCTATCCTTACGCGGGTCAACTGCGAAGAAGCCCCTTTAAATCGCCCCCTTTGTTCTTTGCGAAATCCACGGCGGGTTCAAAAGCGTTCTTCTTGGATCGGGTTACTTACTTGCCCGTATGGCTTCTCCCGTTCTCACCCGGTCACCACGTTGTTCCTATACATCCTTGAGCAGAGGTCACTGAACGTTTGCCCAGGTGGGATACGGCGGCTCTTGTGGATCCTCTCCATTTCCCTGACGGATATAGCGTGGCAAGTTTTAGTAGATCGCGCAGGTAACTCCGATAACGGTACCCGACACTTCGCTGACGCCTTTGTACATGCATCGTATCGTTATTGGAGCGACAAAAAACGATTGACCCAGCAAGACGCTAGGGGAGCATACGCAGACAGTAATTTCTCGGTTGTCAAGTGGGGGTCCCCCGCCGCCGTAAAACCAGTGGAAAGGATTGTGACTACCGACTAAATCGCGTCTCGCGCCGTCAATATCGTTCAAAAAAAACAAAAAGAAAACACGTTTTTTTGCGTAAATTTAATTTTTTTTTACACGTGTGACTGTTTAAAAGAAAACTTTTCTTCTTTTTCTTTTTAGTGGCCCTTTAAAGCAACACTAACACACCACAACAATTTGTTTTTATTATTTTTTTTTTGTCAGGCGATTTATTGTGGTGTCAGAAGACTACCCAATCAATATTTTGCTACAGCGTCCCGTACGTATTTAATAAAATGGAAAAACGCAAATGCTCGAAACCGACACCGAAAGTGAACTGGGGAGGAAGAAAAAATATAGAGGAGAAAGTTACCAAAAATCACTTCACTGTGCAGTCCCCCCCCCCCCCCCCCCCCCTTTTTTTTTTTCTTCAATTAACGTATTTGCGAATTTTTAGAAGCCATACAAAATGGGTGTCTTATTTTCAGTCTATTTTTAGTGTTGAGTGTGGCTTCGATGACGCACGACTCCGATTGGTGGTTGTCTCTAAACCACAGAAAACGGCACGTGACCGCGGAGAAGAGAGTGAGCGCGACTCAGACGGTCCAGCTCTCGGTCGGCGATTTTCGGGCGGAAAGAAACCGAATTTCGAGCCGTAAATTGTGCCCTGCGTAGTTGGGCTGTCGTATGTCATCAACAGATGAAAACCTTGGCGAGCAGAAATACAGTGCCCTTTTAATTAAGGGTGAACGGTTTAGTCGTGTCACGAACTTCCCAAAATTCAAATTTGACAAGCTTAGATTTTTTTTTTTTAACCTTAATAGGAGAGTTTGAAGAAAAAAAAGTTTGAATAAAGTTTGACTTATGCGCGGAAATTGGAAACGAGCTGATGCCACCTAGCGGATGAGGTGGCGCGATGTCTATTGGGTGTATCGTTTCACACGTGTTTCATGATAACAAACAAGCTAAACCATTACAATGCTTGTTTTTCTTTTTCACATTAAGAAGGGGGGGGGGTAAAATACAAAAAAAAAAAAATGAGGGAAACGTTATACAGTAGTTTTTGTATTTTACAGAATATAAAACAAAGTACAGTGTGTAGCATATTATATTTTTTGGAAATATTTGTGTAGAAGTCCGGCATCGATCCTCAAAATTCGAACTTGGGCGAAATTCGCCAGTAGTTTGAAGATGCAGCGAACTAGTCGAACCTTGGTTTCGATTAAGAGTTGTCGACATGCTTCCATGGCACTGTCTGTCTGTCTGAACATCTTGGAGAAAGGACGATACCTGGGATGTGGTGCTGCACCGACAATCGTGACTTTCTCTCGCAGACGCTGTGTGCGCGATTTGGTTTTACGCCCTTTGGGTCGGAAAGGGATCCCCGCAGAGATTTCTCGTCTCAGATCCTCACGTGCGTTGTTCTTTCTCCCCTGTTGCAGTACTACGAGATGTCCTACGGGCTAAACGTCGAGATGCACAAGCAGGTGAGTCATCTCTTTTTGGCCGCTATATGACGAGGGCCACTCAATGGGTTATGATAGACTTAGAGCTGCCCACATCAAAACAACATAATTTGTCTTTTTATCCTCCGTAATAAACCCTAAAAAAAAAAAAAAAAAAACCGCGCGCTATTTGGTAGTTGCTGCGCCAATTGTCTGAAATCGCCATTATTTTGGGTGTGTATTTTGAGCGTCTGTTGGACGTTGCGCCAGCGTCTGTCAGCGCCAGCGTCTGTCACCGCCAGCGTCTGACCCAGTCGCACGCTTTTCGTGTCCGAGAAACTACATCCGCCGATGTTGCCCGATCGGCTTTAGAAAAGTGTCTGTTTACCTCTCAGCTCCCCCCACCTGGACGACAGAGGATTAAAATATCTCGCGCGAAGCAACTTTTAACCAGCATATCCTGGTCGGTGAGAAACAGTTATTTGCAGTGCATCAGCAACAGCATGAGCAAAGTCTCTCTCTCTCTTCAGTATAGAAGTGGGAGCCCAGCTATGACTCTCTCCGAGTCTTTTCTGCGCAGAAATCAAACGCTTAAAAGAAAGAAAAAAAAAAGTGTGGGATTTGATTGAAGCGTAGGAAATTTTAATTGTGTTCCTGTCCCAAACTTAGGTCTTTATATTTCAATTGAGATGATGACTGTTGAAAGTTCCACGGTAAATTACGTTAAAAAAGAAAAAAATGTTGCTTTTTTAAATTGTGTTTTCTTTTTCTAGTTGGGCAGATAACTTGTTGAGGACTACTCGTTTGTTGGAAGGAGCTTGTTGGGACGCCCGTTAGCAGCGAACTTAAACCCTTTTTTTTGCAGCTTTCCCGTGACCGTTTTGCCCGCGACGCGCGTTCCCGCAGTGATCGCCTCATTTGCATCAAACGGCGCTGCGGTTCTGAGGACGCGACACACTGCCGCCACATTTTGTCGAAATCGGGGAACCGTAATTTGCGCCAGCCCTGCACGGAGCTATAGACCACTCATCTTCTTAATCCACCAATTTTGGTTAACCATTCGAAGATCCCTTTGTTGAAAACTTCTACGAAGGGCGTGATTAGAAGGGGAGCGGAGATACAGTAACGGCTAACAGCGATTTTAGGACTTTTAAAGTAATCCGATTAAACTTGCGATTACTTCCTAATAAACGATTTCAAATTATTACAAAACTACTAAAAAAGTGATTGATTACTAGTAATTTGATTACTTGTAATGACTACTGTAAATTTCTGGCTCGCTACGTTGCGGGGTTTATGATGAACGTACGCAAATATATCTTTTAAAAAAGAGTGGATTTGAAAAACACGGCATTCAATTTTCATCGTCGTATTGAACGCTGGTACTTTAAGAAACGTCCGAAATATTTCCCCTTTCCAGTGTAATTTGGCGAGTTAATCAGCTCCCTTGAGTGCGCTTCCCAGTTCGCACAGTTGTCATGCGGGGAAGTGACATCCGCAGAGCGGACGTGCCTCGGGTATAGATTCACGCCGTTCGCGCCACCTGGTACGAGGCGTACTGCGCACCGTATGTCGCATCATGCGAGCACGCTTCTCTCGTCGTCACGTTACCTCCGTTATTATTATTACTCTAGCGATAGGTCGGACTACACTTTCATTGATAGAAAGCTCGCGTCATGTCCCGTAGTACCTTTCGCGGCTGCTGGCTTTTCCTGCTCTGGCGCTTCACGGCGGCGCAGCTAAATACACAAGGAAAAAAAAAAAGCTTTTGTACGAGGCAGTGCGGGCGTCTGTTTGTACAGCTTTCGGTGTTTTATATGTTACACGTTTCTACCTAAAGTAAAGCAATAGTACCGGAACATTGGGAGAGACATATAGGTGAAATACTGGAAATCAGTTTTTTTTTCTTGCTGAAGGGGTTTTTGATTGCTATCGACTTGTTATCGCTTTGGTTTGCTACAGTTCATTTCGCCGTCAGATCCTTAATATACTACGTCTACATAGGCCTATGAATAGTTTAGGGTGCAACGAAGAAATAAATATCAGGTTTTATAAATTTGCAATAACCGGAAGAGCGGTCGCGTGGGATTTATGAACTTTTGCTTGGGATAAAATAGCCTTAAAATTTTAATAAAAAAAAAAAATGAAAAGTCGAGGGGCTGACATGGCGCGCACGACACGATTACCCTGATGCTCAAGATTGGTCCATCTCGAATTGATTCCCATTGAACTCTTCGGTTCTGTTCCACAACACCCGAATGTACCAGTCGTGCATGCATGCCCGTGCGAGCCTTTTCGTCGGTCATCAGCATGTGCCTCCGAACACAAACAGGTCTTATAGTGGCTGCTGTGATGAGAATTTTAAACGAAGGGAAGTGCCACACTCCTATCGGCAACATTCTTATGGTCATTTATGATGCATTAAGCGCACCACTGGAAGCGCAATAAAGGGTACGCAGACGGACTGCCGCTGTGGTTCACCGTTTGTATTGGAGCTCTCGTGCTATAAACTCGATCCGAACAAGGTGAAGGATACGCTTTGCTACGCCATGCCATAAAAAAGCCCCCCCCCCCCCTTTTTTTTTTTTTTTGCGCGTTTTAGTTACAATTGCAAAGTAAAACAACGAGTAGCTTTTTTTTTTTTTTTTTTGTTATCTGTCGTGGCAATATCTTTTCAAGAGCTATTTGACCAGGCCGTTTAAATTGAGTGCGCTGTGTTCACACAGCCTTCGGGGCCCCAGAGAATAAAAACGACAATCAAAGAGACAGAAAAAAAAAATGCACAAAATTGCAAACGAACACAAACACGGCGTGAGAGAGTACATAATACCGCCGGGGTTCCTTCCTGCTACCGCCTCTTTAAACGTTAATCGTCCGGGGCGCCCTAATAGAAAAGCCGGCGTTCGCTCGCTCCATCAACGCCGGACGCGTCGTCGAAGAGGCACCCACCACCACTCGACGTCTCTTCTTCGTCCCCCTCCGATCCGACGCCTCGCTGGATCGCGAACGAGGCGAAGGGGGGAATGTGTGAGCACAAACCGCCATCTTTGCGCCTTCCCGAGAAAGCGGCCCTGCCCTATAAATCTCTGCTCGGCGAGCGAGGAGTGTTTGGCGTGAGCAGCAGCGACGGAGCGTTGCGCCGCAGAGCATCGACGAAGAGACGTTTTGCTGTTGCGTTTCCGGCGGGGAGAGAGAGAGAGAAGGGAAAAGACGCGTGCGGAACGAGAAGCAGCTCGCTTTTCTCGCCACCCTCGCCTTTTGTCTCTTTATTTTGCGCTTTTTTCTCCGGGGCCTCCCTCCCTCCCCCGGTATATCTTTTCGCAGCTCGAGTCCATAAATTCTGCCAGAGGAGAGGTTGGCGCGAGGGAGAAGAAAACAGAAAGAAAAGCGCGGGCGTTCTCGGGGTCTCCAAAATCCCGCAAAGTCTGGCGTGCGGAGAAAGCGGCCCCCCTCCCTCTCCTTCATTCTCCTTCCCATTCTCCTGGAGCGGCGGCGGCGGCTCCGAATGCAATTTCAGCGCTCCGTCGGCGTCGTTTCTCTTCATTCTGCAGCTGTGTGCCGCCGCCGAGCGCGTGTTTTCGCTTTCGTTTGTTTGCCGCTGCTACTCGCTGCGGTTCTTCGCGTCGCCGCTCCGTTTCTTTCGGCCGACAGGCGACGCTCGTTTGCTCGCGACGAGGCGGACGCCCATACCGCTAGGGGTAGCTGGTCTATTCGCAGTCGTCGCCGAGCGGTGGCGCTGTCCGCCTGTCTGCGGCTGGGATGCGGCTCTAGTTGTTGTTTTTAGGCGGTTAGTCGCTGTTTTTGTTTGGGGCGTCTGCGGAACGAGATAGGGAGGAGGTGAGGCGTACTCGGATAGATTGACGGTGACGTTCGGAAGGGCGGAACTCTGGATTCTGCGGATGAGAAAGAAGTAGATAGGCTCTCTAAGAGGAAGTTCTGGAAAATCTGAGAAAAAGGCGGAGAGCAGACTGCGTCAAAGAGTGGCTCGTTGTATGTTGTGTAGCACCCGAGTGTTGGGGCGGACAAGCAACCTTGTCGTTTGCACTTTGTTTCGTCGGTTTTGCGTGGGTATGAACTGTTACCGCCTGTGTCAACCACACAAAATCATTGTTGCGAGAATTTCGTGTACGTTTGGTTTCGAATGAACGCAGCGATGAGAGGGGACCTCCCGGCGCTAGCGACATGTTTAGACATCCGCAACCCAGCGTGCGACCTCCACAGCCCTGCACGCGCTAGTTGGTCTCCGCAAACAAGAAAAGCACGTGTCCCGTATTTTGACGGAGTGTTCTAAATTTTGTGACAACTTCTGCCAGTAAAAAGGTATCTGACGCGTAGCATAACAGCTCGTTTGCGTTTAGTACCGTTAGTCATCACTCATTAAGGATTGGTAGATTGAATATCTGCGGCAAATAAATGATTAAATTGTAAAGGTTGAAATAAAGCCACCCGCTAGGGCGTGGAACACTTCTAATAGTCAAATTGTTCGTATTGAGGCCTAGACAGCGAGAAGTTAGTACACCTTAAAAACGAGGTAGGGTCCTCCGTTGCGGACGGGAAAATTATTCAGTGCAGTATGACTACAGCAAAGAAAGCTCGCGCTTGTACTTGAGTTAGAAATCGCGAGGCAATATATAGTCAGTCGAGCTTTTAGTTTACGACATCATTTTTCCTATCTACTTCGTCGTTCTGACAGCGCTAAATCAGACGGCGCGAAGTAACAGTAACTATATTAATTTAACCGTCCGTTATGTTTATAACGCTCTTAATGAGAGGGGTGGGGGGGGGGGGGGGACAATTTTTTACCCCCATCCGGAAACGAAATCCGGCATAGGCCGCTGCGCACTCCATACGTGCGAACATTCAAACGGCCCCCGGCCAAAAAAGCTCTTTTCCTAAATTGTCTCTAAAAGAAAAAAGTTAAGAGCAATTGTTAGACTTGATAAAAAAATCGTTGGCGGCGGCTATACTTTGAAGCGGAGGAGTCAGGAAGAAGAATGCCAGTGCACGAGATGCAGCTTGACATCGTGACTCGCACTGAAAGT